CACACGTTCTCTGTCTTGGTAAAAGTTTGTCTAAATATCTGTCTCCCCTGCCTGTTGTCTACTATCGTACCTCGACATATCCGCGCTTTTCCGGTAACAAGTCCCAATGATGGGAAAGACTAATTCGATGAAACCCTGCACGAACTCATCGCGACTGTGCTGACGGAAGACGAAGTGGTTATACCCAGCGACTTTAATGCCGCGTTGGCATAAGCCGCGTATTCGAGGAGGGAATATTTGGCTATCAAAGGTTCAGTTGCTGAAACGCAGTGACTTCCTGCTCCTGCAGACCTGGATAGAGTGCAGTCCTCTCCTGACCAGCATCTAGCACCCCGATCCGGGGCAAGATGTGCCCTCGCTCTCGTCATTGACAACTGCTGGACTGCCTCTGCGTTAGGAGACAAGACCATCACGACGTACTAGTGAGAGAGACTATCTATAATGTCGATTGCCGTGCGAGCTCAACGCGAGTTTCCACGACTTTTATCCACAACCCGTTATTTACAACTGACTGCGCATTCAACACTACAACAGGAGCGGATATACGATGGAACATGGACGTATTTGCCTCCGGCTGGGCTTAGAAATCTTGTAGTTTGATGCATCATTTAAGGGGACTATTGGTCGCCTGGTTCCCGTATACTGCCCAGGCCTCGACACTATACAAATGCGTCCTCAAAATGACGGCTTTGCACATCTTCGATTTAGTATTAAGGTGGAGACCGTGGCAATTTCATAGAGTTCTGCAGACGGCCGAAGGCCTGACTGGCTATTAAGATTCAACGAGCAACCTCATCATCGATTTTTTTGCTGCGCGTGAGTTTATTTCCTACGTAAGCAAAGTTATCCACAGTTTTAAGTCGGCGGCCGTCTGCATTGACTCGAGGAGTGCTGTATTCGTTGTTGGGTGACGGTTGTCGCACGACCACCTTTTTTCCGTGTTTACTGTTAACCCAAAGTCGGCGCATCCGGCAGCTAAGAGGTCCGTGTCCCTTCGCGTGTCCTCTCCGTTCATGGGGTTGAGCGCGCAGTCGTCCGCGAAGAGCAGGCAGTGGACAGTTTTCGTAAATGGGTGTGTTGAGGCCTGCATGCTCCGGAATCTGACAGCATGTCCATCGGTCCTGTAGAAGATGCGTATCCGGGGGAGCTCATCACGATAGGCGTCCACCCGAATGCCAGGGAACATGAAACTGGAGAGTGTGGGCGTGGACATGCAATCCTGTTCTACCGCACTCGACACTGAGAATGCTTCAGAGACAGTCCATTGTCAGTGACGTACGCCATAATTTCGTCGTGTATCTGACGCACCATTTGCGCTGATCGCTCATAACCGAATTTCTACATGTCAATGGCTCCACGGTGTCGTCGGAAACCACATTGGCCTTCCGGGGGCAATCCTTGTCTCGGGGTGACCGATGCCACGATTGTGGGAAAGGCAATTGAAAATCTTTCTGGCGATTTTTAGAAACAGGATACCTCTGTGATTATAATAGAGTTGCTGGCTTTCCTTCCGCCCGTGGAGACAGACGACTGTCAATCGTTAAATCCTTGAAGAAATTGTCTTTGACGCCTTATCTCCCGGAGTAGCGTCTCAAGCTGATCCATCAGTCGGGGACGCCGTTTTTCTAGACTTCGGCTGCCGTCGCGCCCGATCCTGGTGATTTCCTGTTAGAGAGTTGGTGCAGGGCACAGATCGTTTCTGGGACGAGAGGTGAGGAAACCAGATCGAATGTTGACTTCCACTTGGGGAGATAGTTAATGGCGACATCGAGGATGGTTGATAGGCGATTGAGGACATTTCTAAAGTGCTCTGTTCAGCACTTTAGAATCTACTGGTTCTCGATAAAGAGGGTTGTTCCAGCGATGCTGAGAAGCGGGGCGATTTCGTTGGCTGTAAGGGTTTAGATGCCTTAGTTCTCAGCGAAAAAGTTCTTAATTAGATTGAGGTCGACATACTCCTGTATTTCCCCGCCCTTGCGAGTCATTCAGGCGTCCTGCGTCTCTTGCGGTCTCTGCTGCACATAGCGGCGATGGCAGAAGAAGGCCGATGTAGGCCTTGAGCAGCAAACGTTTTTAGCGAGCAGGCGGATTATTTTTGCGTCGCTAGCGTCGAATCAATGCTGATATTGACGATGAATGTTGCCAAAGACATCAAAGGCAGTCGAGTGAATAGGGTTCCACAGCTGACGCCACCTAGTCTCCACGGAGGCGTTTTCATCTGGAGTTTACAACTTTTCCGGTCATGGGCCAGCTGATAGCCGAAATGGAGACGATGGGCAGGTAAATTCGAAAAAAAAACTGTGTTAAACTGGCTTGGTTATCGTTTACCTTGTGGCCTCCAGCAAGGGTGCATTTGGATCTCTGTCTTGAAACAGATGGGACGGTTACCCATCCAGCCATAGGCGTCGCAGATCGTCTTGATCACCAGCACGTCCTGTTGATCGTGCCGCCGGACGAGAACGCAGTCCAGCAGCTTACAGCGCCGCATCGGAGATCCATCCTGGTCTCCTTCTTTCGCATCGGAAGGCGGAATAATGTGTTGGTCAGGAGAGAGCTGTGTTCTACGTAGGTTCGTTAGTAAAAGAAGCCGTTTTTGTTGCAGCCGGCTATTCAGTGTACACCCAGCACTCACCTTCAGGCGGTCTAGTCTGTCCCGACGTGATCATTGAAGTCACCAAGGAAAACCAACTTTTCCGCCCTCAACACAAACGCCAGGGGGTGTACAGGTCCTCGTCGACGTTAATCTTCGCCTCTTCAGAGCTGGTCATAAGGGGGGGGCAGATACTGAAAATGTTGGGGAAATTGGCCACTAAAAGAGGTAGGCGCAGGCTCGTGAGGTGGTCGTCAACGTCCTGAGGTAGGGAAAGAGAGAGCAGTCGCCTCACAGTGTCGCTTCGGAGGACAAAGGCACCGGTGCGTCATGTCGCTCTGTCTTAGGGTGACTGCTCCAAAAGAAGGGGTAACCGACAGCCAGCTCCTCCAGGTAGCCTTGTTCAGTGGGAGGACTGTCATTGAGAGCACTGATGCCCACCTTGCACTGCGCCAACTTCCGATGTATTTGAAGAATCTCACCGATTATAATCCCTGTGTTCTTCACACAGCGTTCGTTCAATCAGACACCGAGTGCCGCATATAAGCGAGGTTTCCACCTCATTTGCCCTTTCTGTACCTTTCATAAGACGGGGTTGGCGGTTGAGACCTTAACAGATGACTCAGCCGATACAATCGAAGATGCGAGTTCCAGGAACTAGTTGATCAGAAGAAGAAGCGATCGCTGGAACAAGGGCTTTATTCGCCGATTAAAGCCCTTTTTCCAGCGATCGATTCTTCTTCTGTTCAGGTGACTCAGTCCTATGGGTTAGGAAGTACTCCAGCCGTACAATTATCAACTGAGGGTTCTCTGTGAAAGAACAGCGCCGATGCTATCTGTACTGTGAAAACTTCCAGTATTGTTATCAAGTCGTGTTAAAAATAAGAGACGAAAGACCTCATGCAAAGAATCTCAGCCCCGTCCATCTCAGGTCGCCCCGTAACTTAGGACGCGGATATGTGTTAAAGGGGCTCTTAAAGTCAAATATTCCCACCCTGGTCTGGAAAGAGCTGCATTAGTACCCAGCCGAAACCTACATCATTCTTCATAAGATCAATACTTAAACGTAAATATAGTCCTTCCGTTGGATCATATTCTGCATCTTTGTTAAATAAATAAATTAATAAATAAATTTTAATTTAATGCCAGTTTACAGGCATTGTCAAGGGAAGCGATTAAACACAAATCCGACCAGCAGTGAAAAAAAAACTCCTGAGCTTAAGGGACAAAATATAGTTGATGGTGGTTTTTGTGGTTTGGAGGGCTCAGGAGAAAAAACTGCCGGCGGTGGTAGAATATCGACCGTCAAGAAGGGGGGAGGTTACACGGTATCGGAGATTATCGGACGTCAAATTCCTTTCATGAAGTTGGGGATAGTCAAAGTAGAGGCGTTGAGGAACAGCTGGTGAGACCGGCCATAGTGTTCAGAGACCACAAACGCCATCGCTACGGTACAGTCGATCAGTAGATTCAGCACCCAAAATTTGTGGGAGCTTTTCTGAATGAAAAATCGAGAAATCGTATTCTTAAATAAAGGATAATTTTGCAGAGTTTTCACACTCTTGGGTAGTTTATTCCAAATAGCAATTGCATTTACAGAAAAGAACCGACGTTATTTAACAGTACGTGCCAGAGGAAGAAATAAGAAGACCTCACGGTGACTGTTACGTCGTGGGTGGATATGATGTCTTAAAGAGGTGAGTGGGTTAAATGTGTGATTATATAAGAGTTTAAATAGCAAAAATAGTCCCTTTTGTAATCTACGGAACCATAAAGGATCGAGGCTTGAAAGCCGGCAACGTTCTTGGTAAGACAAATGTCGGTGTTCCGGGGTTAAAATTCTCTTGGTATCGATAACTCCGACGAGCATCATCTGTGGACACACCTAACTTTTGGTTTCAACCTAGTGAGGAGCAAGCTTGTGCCTCACAGCTTTTTGCCAAACATGTCCTGCTTGTCACTTTAATTCCTAATCCCTTTTAGAGTTCAGTAGGTGGCTGGACATCACCCTGATGCTGCCTAGTCTCCGACCGTAACTTAAGTAATGGTTTTAAGACCGAGAAGAACCTAGTTGGGTATGATATCCAAACAGATCCTTGAAAAGGCGGCTGTGCTACTGTGGCATCCGCAAGCTTGTTTTCGGCAGCGTAGCTCCAGAGTCCTTAACCCCTGAAAACCCGGAGTCCCCGCATCTGCCAAAACATCCGGCATTAAGTAATTCCATACTGTTCCCGCATAATGGGAAAGGAGAACTCGAGTAACCCGATGATAATTTGGGAATCATAATAACGCATCTGCCATCTTTCTTGTTTTTGTCAAATTGACTTGGTATCACGAAAGTTCATGTTTGTTTAAACGGCCTCGCGTGCACCACTTTCGTTCTTCCCTTATCTGTTTTGTACGTGAAGCGATGAAGAGAGATAGCCGTGATAACTCCGCGGGCACACCCCCTGCAAAAGTGCAAAAGAGCGATTCCCCCAAAGTGACCGTACGTTTCTTGATACCAGCGCGTGCCGCCGGCCTTATAATTGGCAAGGGAGGAGAGAATATAAAGAAGATCCGCTCTCAGGTGATGATCCAATTCAGTTAGTAGCATACTTGATTGACACGCCTGATGAATCTCCTCTAACTTAGCCTTTATTTCCATTCCTTTTATGCACCACGTTTCACGACGCCACGACTCCGAAATTCCTTGAATACCCATGAAAAATTCTGCCTTGAACCCCACGACATCCTACTTGCTTAACGCAATTTGCTTGGTTCTTGTCCATGATTCACTGTTGGGTGGCCTAACCGCCACGGACACTCCTCGCATTTCGTCAATCGTCTGTCTCCCGTCATACTTTTCACTGTACCCAGTACTCAGTGAAGCTCAATATTCCCGACAACCGAGGCATCGAACGGTAGGACTCGATGAGGATCTCTATTTTCGATTTTTGTGTACACTTTTGTCGTTCTGAATGTAGTATTTGCGGTGGCTGTAGCTCGTGGCTGCTTAAACTCTCAAAATACGTTCTAAAATTACCTAGACGCGCTCGGTCTGAAGCCTGAATTTTACTCGAGACTGTCCTCACCGTCTCCTTTGCCGGTTATGCATAACCGGTCAGTTTTACCAGTGCCTTATCCGACATCTTAAACATGATCACCAGTCGAGACTTTCAAAGTTTCGCACGAATTCGACATAAATACGGATTGAAATAACGCAGCCCACACACGAACTAGATCAGAGCCACCGCAATGCTTTCCGCTTCTCGTGCTTTTCAATGTTGGTATTTTTATACAGAGTGTTCACGGTCGAAGGCGAGCTGTCGGCGATCGCCAATGTGGTGCGAGAAATCGTCCCAAAAATAAAGGTAATTGCGGAATTGGCGTCGAACCTCCCTAGGATGTAATGAACGCCAAGCTCTCCGACCCTAAGCGGATCATGGGCTATCAGCGACCGCCCCGCCGGCGCCGGGGACCAAATGGCGAAGAACTAGAAGAAGAGGAGGAAGACGAGGGAATGATCGATCTCAGAATGCTCGTTCACCAGAGCGTAGCAGGGTCTATAATTGGCAGAGGTGGTGAGCGCATTCGCGAGCTTCGATCGGTATGTCTGCGATTTATATGAGTTTCTTTTAGAAACACAAAATGCGAGTCATCAAAGTTTATCAGATGTTGGCCCCGTTATCTACTGACCGGGTGGTTCAGTTAGTCGCAGAGCCCGAGAACGCCATCAACTGCATGGAATCCGTTATTGAAGTGGTTGAGGTATGCACCTGGTTTCTAAGTATACCATTTTTAAGAACACGCCCATCCGTGGTGCCATCGAGAACTACGACTCCGCAAACTCTTCGGAGGTTGACGCACTCACCTACGGTGGATGGCTCACACCAGAAGGACATCAGGCACTGACCCAAGGCATGCCCCTGGGAGGTGGAATGCCGATGCCTGGGCCTGAGATGGGTGGTCCCCGTGGTATGCCTCCCATGGGACGTGATGCCATGTACCCCCGTGGCCCACGTGGCATGCCACCACCGGTAGCTCCTCCAAATATGTACGGTAGCGGTAGGATGGGTGGGCCTCCGCCAATGGGGCCTGTTCCCCCTCGACGCAGTGGCTACGACCAGGCCTCATACGCCCCTCCCGCTGGTTATGATGGCGTCTCACAGGCCAGCATGCCTGGTCCTGGGAATCAGAGTTATGGATACGACGAATCTCAAGGGTACTACCAGCCCCCAGTAGGTCCGAACGGCACGGGTATGGTTTTACAAAGCACCGGGGGTTATGGTGGGCCTGTCTCACGTCCCCCTCCCCCTCCTCCGCAGATACCTGCTGGTCCCGGGCCAATGGGGTAGGCTCTTAATTTTTTCTAATAATTTGGACTCTAGAATGCCTTACAAAAGCGCGGCTCCTCCACCGATGTACGGCGCGCCAGTGGCAAATTATCACGGCGCACCACCTGAGGACGGGAAGACAAGTCAGTGGGGCTGGTGAATGTCAGTCGTCTTTTAACTGTAATCTTGTAATAAACTTCAAACACCATATCCCACTGTCTTTTTAGTTCACAAGAGAGCGTCATTCGAAGTAGTTACTATAGTGCCACACGGGTCGCGAAATATCTGATTCGACACTCCTGTGTGCCAGTTGGCGGTTCGTGCAAGTGGGAAATCTGGTCCGCGCCGCTGGACCGCGTCATATCCTTTGGTGCGATGCGCGCGGGCGTCGAGATTCGTCTATTTAGAATAATAAATGCGGCAGCCTGGGAGGGAGAGGTGGATGTGTCAGCCCAGCCGCGGGAATGTCCGCAGACGGCGATCAGTAGGACGGATTTCGGTGGAGGCCAGCCGCCAACGGTGCAGACGTGGCACCTGCAGGCGCGACCGGCCACTAATCTGGTAAGTCTTGCCAATGGCGACGCCAAATGCCGAAGCGGTGCTACAACAGAGCGGAAGTTGCCCGCTGCACAGTGGGCCTCATCCGCCGCCCGGCACGACGCTGGCGCCTTGGATGCGCACGCCACGTGCAGATGGAACGTCAATCCTCTGAATCCTAAGGGTCCACGAAACACTAAGTTGACTCACGATCGCTGTCAAGCGGTCCATGATTAAACTTCTCCCGCAGTCGGGTATAGTCGGACTGCGTGCTGAACTGTGTCGAGAATCCATTCATTGGATCCCATCTGTCTGTGGTGGAGTTTGGCGTTCTAGCAACTGCGCGACAGTCAGTAGCTAATTTGTTTAATTTTGCCTTACGGGGACCAGTTACCATGACAAGTGTGGACATCGCGCCGCCTTGTTGGCACCCATGTGAACCCTGGGACAATAGGAGATAACCCGGCACAGAGCTGCTCGGTCCCTTCGTGTCGTTTGACTGACCAGCGTAAAAGTTATCTAATGAGGTAGCGGCTTCTCTCAAGAGGACTTCCTTCGCATTCGTGGTGTTGTGTAGAAGCGCGAAACGCATTACGCGACTTGAAATTCGCGAGGTCCTCGACCGGGTTAAATGCGCTCTGTGAAGGTAGTACTGACGGTTTGCAGAAGTCCAGCAGGGAATTTTGACGACACCCACAACTCGGCCAGGAGCGCTTGGTCGTCTGAGGCAAAGTTCCACGATTTGTTCGGGGCGGGCAAAGTATGACAAAGCCTGTCGTGACGTGCGTTGCCATGCTTTTGGGAGCGTGTCCCAGACCAGTCACTGCGTCGTCCCGGGGCTCCATGTTCGGTGTCACGAGTCGGCCGGCAGCTAGTACGCGCAACCGATTTGCGATTAGGGGGTAATCTAAACCATCGTAGCCGTCTGCCGCACGCTATGTGTTTGCCGAACTGGGAAAGAATGTGGGTGGGGTTATGTTGACATGGATGTTTGGCGGGAGACACTTTTTCTCGTTGCTATTCACAATAGGAAGGAATTACTTCCGGAAGAGAACGCGAGACGTGAACACCACCCGAGATTCACATGAGTCCATCAATGAAATGCCTGATAATTCGACGGCGTCCACCGCGTGTCCCATAGTGGGTGCGGCGTGGACGGATTGCGGGTGAATTTGGTTATATTTAGGCGGACTTCCACGGCATCTAGCTCACACTCCCCGCACCCACTTTGCTCCGATGGAGAAACAAATTCAGTATTGGCAGGTGTGGACACGAATACAGTGGTTTGCAAAGTTAAGCAACGCATGTGCGCATGCCACACGCGACCCGGTCTTTACTACTTGTTCCGAGCCTCCGTAAGGGCGACCCCAATTTCACATCAGTTGGAGTACCGCAAAGGCCACATTGGGACAAAGTCATTGCAGCTTGACTCAGTCCCGCGAAGGGCCGATCTGTCTTGTCAATTGGCAAATTTCCATGACGCGAGTCTTAACGCGACAGATTTGTTATAGTGGAGAGTGCGCTGGCTTCCTGTGAGGTTGGGTTTATCAGCGTCGACACTACCATCTCTTCCTTCTCTCATGCATCACTCAGTTTCCTTTGTGTCTGTCAGTTGGTGAGATCGAGTGAGCTGTTCGGCTTGTCGTGCGCTGGGACCCCCGTTGCGGTCGTACGATCAATTGGAGTTCGTTGTTGTCAAATTGACAGTTAGACCTCTGTCGTCCCTTGAACGAATGGCGATCGTCGAGCTCTTGTTAGCCTCTGTTGCTTGTGTTCCCATCGCGATATCTCCTTCATAACACACCGGTCATCCGTCCACACCCTGCCTTTATGGATGTGGAGTTCGGGTTCCAAAAGTAGCAGATAGGAGAGAAATCTGAGCTTTCGGTCGCCCAATCGGCCGGTTTGTCCGTCGATGCTGCAAAGACTAAGTACTATCGAAGTGCACCTCTGGCCCGGAGAAGGCATTCCTCGTGAAGAAGTGACCGAGCAGAGTCAATTGGCTGTCAGTAGAAAAGGATGAGTTATATACCGTTGCCCATACCAATGCTGCTCAGTGTCGTTATGCGCCTAGAGACTGAAAAAAGGTCAAAAGGTCTGTAAGCGTGTGCTACGTCAGTACCTGCAAACAATGGCCCTCGTAGCCTGGCATGCGCTGGCGGCCCCCTGACACCCTGCCCGTAGATGCACTTGCGTTCCCGCTAGGTACATGGGTGGTGGGCATGGCTGCCCAGTCGTCCTCGTCGCTCTGGGCCCTGTTAGGGTGGTGTTGGTCAAAAACCTGGTCATTCGCTGTGTGGATCAGGGGATGTGGAGCAGAACGCCAAGGTGCGGGCTCGACCACGCCGTCCACCTGCGCCCTCCCGCGCCTCCGGTCTTCTTGACTCTGTCTTAACACCGGGTCCAGGTGGGGAATTGGAGAGAGAGAGAGTGCGGTAGATGCTGCACAAGTCTACTATCACTTTAAGTCACGCGCAAGTCACCGCCTTGCTGTGGAGCAGACGATGTACATCGTCGGAGACGACTGTCAAAGACCCATCGCCTTAACCTAGGCGCCGAAAAGATCTGTCTTCTCCTGGAATCTGTCCAGTCGGTACACCTGTACGGTTTTGATTGCTGGATCTCGCGCGTGAAAGACGAGCGAAGACTGGAGGTAGCCGGCCGTCGCTACCTGAGCGCGACCCTTCGAGTGAAATGCAGCGACTCAACGCGAACCCTCAACTACCCCCCTCCCCCCCCCTTGGATAGAGAAAATAAGCACTTTCAACCACTTCAGGAGACATTTCATGCGGTTCTCGGATCTAGTAGGCAACACCTTTTTAATGCGGGATGTAGGAATTATAGCTTGACCGTTGCGAGCAGCGAAGTCCACCGCAAGCTCCACGAAATGGGTGCAGCACCAATGACTTGCGCACGACTAAGTTTATAGCACAGCGGACTTGCGCAGTATCTACCGCCCTCTATCCTCGCTCACACACCTGGTTTCGACGGAAATATTGTCAAGACGACTGGAAAGTAACTCGTGCGTAATGCCTGACAGGTTTCAGACGCCCATCTGCGAACGACACACGACCTGCTCCTCAGAACACACACCCGGCTTTTAAGACAGTGACTCGGATCTCACATGATTGGAAAAACCGCACAAGGATTCCCCAGGCCACCTAGGGAAGGCGGTTGAGGTGACTTGGGCATACACTTTGCCGCCTGACTCATGAGTTAACATCGCCTCAATGACGACGATAGAGGTAAGCTAGAGGTCTGGCTCTCGGGCTTGCAATACTTGGCTCCCACCGCCGAAAAAGAGAGTGGGTCGACCCTACAACGATAGCTGCCAAAGATCTTTGAGGCACCATCAGCGGCAGCATTGGAGTTGGCTAGCTCAGTGATTATCACGGTCGTATAGAGTACAGACTAAAGCCTACCAACCACGAATACCTACGTCTGAACGATAGTCGGGGCCGGAAGCAGTTCTGATGTTTTTTAGGGCCATACGCCAAGTTAGCACATTCGCCTCCCCCCCCCCCCATGTCGACCCCTTCCGGCGTCTTGAACAGGAAGACTCTGGATAGTGTCGCGAGAGCAAACAGCACATAAAGTCAGCAATAGGCGCGGTAGGCATATATATACATGCGGACAGGAGGTTTGGCCGCCGTGAACGGATGCCGCCTCCAACTTTCTGACATCGAGAACTGGGGACAGAGTATGCTTTGTTTCCAGCACACAGAAGACAAGGATCACCTTTTTAGGTTAGAAAAATTTCGATTTAACTTTGGCCTCTTTAGGGGTAACGTTGAGGTAGGTGGACTCGGGGTGTTAGTGGTGGTGGTGGTGGGGACGCTGCGTTTAGTCTCATCAGCCTCTGTGCAGCCTTGTCCCTCGAGGACACTATTGTTGGTGGCCGGTGCGGATGGGGACTGACCACTGGTTGGCCACTTGGGATTGTTAATGATAACTAGACTGTCCAGACTAGGCGATGGGGCCCGGCGTTTGTAGGTCGGCTGGAGCCGGAGGGAACCATTAGACGCCGATGGGCGCTTCTGTGTCTCCTGAATAGCAGTAAGCGTCACGCCTAGGGTCGGTTGATCACTTAGAATTGTAACCGTCCCACCATCATCCGGAGGTCGCGCGGGCAGAGGTAGAAGGTGCTTGAAGTACGCGGACAGAAGGGCATTTTTGTCGGGAAGGTTTTTAATCTGGCGGAAGAAAAGTTGCCGGGAAGAAAGAGGGATGCTTGAGTGGACACTCGCAGTAGACTATCGAGGAAACCTAGCAACTAGTCTTCACAATCATAAACCAGCATATAGTTTGCTGCTAGTGGCAACCTGCAGACTGCGACCGACTTGGTAATGGTATAGATGCAGTCAGAAATACAAAGAATGGGACATGAATTCAACTGACTTTGCTGCCTTTTTTAATCTCCTCGGAAATTAACACACAAACATGGAGTTAAATGCTTCGGGATGAGACTTTTTAGGCTCGGTCTGAGAGTTGGTATGAGTATTTGGACTGAAGTCCGTAATCTACTGCGGAATAACCGCGTAGCATTCACAAGCTCCCAGCAGACGGTCAGTGGTATACAGATACCGAATGATTTACTGAACTGGTAGCGCAGGTGCTAGCTAAACGCCCAGACAGGCGTGTTTCGTCGGTCTTGTGCCGCTAAGCTGGGCTCATCAGCGAGTCCCCGTGCAAGAGGGGTGCCCCTCAAAAACCATCTCAACCAAGCAACTCACAACCGATTAACACGACAAACATGAGCGCTCCTGGTAGACAGTAGAACCTGCTTTATGCGACACGCCTATATTCTGATATAACTACCATCAAACAGCTTCCCTAAAAGATAGGCAACTTCCTTTCACGCCGTCTTGCCGTTTTTTAGAAAGACCAGTAGCGCTTAATCAAGTGTTCTAAAGAGGAATTGCCGATTGAGCAGGTATGTCAATTTAATTAATTAAAATACGTTACAAACAAAAGCAAATGATACTGACATGGTCATTTATAGCCCAGTTGATGTCTTTGATTGTGTTAAGTCCAATGACCGGCTAGATCGCGGCTGGTAGCCAGGAATAGGTGAGCGGACGACGACCTAAACCCTAATCCTAACCTTAACCCTAACCTCACCCTTAAACGTTAACCGTTAACCCTAACTCTAACCGGAATCGCAAAAGTAACCGTAGTCCTTAGACATAGCCGTAACTGAATAACCTAGCCGAAATACTGAACCCTAATCGTACACTCAAATCTTAACCTTAACCCGGAAACCACTAACCGATACCCTAATCCTAACCTCAAACGTAAAACGGAAGCCAAATGGGTCAGATGTAATTATGCAGCCCAACTAAATAGCCCCAGTAAACAAACCCCCCAGCCACCTATAATACGGGGCCTGGCTACCAACTGCGATCTGGCCCAATGACCAACTGAACGCGGGTTCAAATCATGCTGCCAACAAGATCTGTATATTTTTGAGACAATCCAGACAAACTGTTCCGAATTTGGCCAAATTATAGTAAGCTTATAAGGCGAGTCAAAAGACGCTCCCTGCAAGTGACCTGCGAAATGAGTGTCCTTGTTAAGTCCGCGTGTGGCGGTAGATGTGCTTGCGCTCCCGCTGGGTATACAGGTCGTGTGCATGGCTGCCCAGTCGTCCACATCCTTTCTGTTGTTGTTGGTGGTGGTCAAAATCCTGGTCAAATGTTTGCTGTGTGGACTAGGGGATGTGGAGTGCAGCGCCAAGGTGCTAGTCCGGCCGCGTCATCCACCTGCGCCCTCCCCACCTCCGGTCTTCTTGACTCTGTCTTGAGGAGAGGAGAGAGTGCGGTGGATGCTGCGCAAGTCACCATGACTGTTTCATCTTGTTGTGAAGCACACGGTGGGCGTCGTCGGATGCGACGGTTGAACTATCATCATTTTAGATTCGCTTACTTATCGCCAACAGAGGCTACTGAAACCACAGCTCCAAGGCCAAATGGAACGCTCCTGTACCGTACCACATGGGCGCACGCCGTCCCTCCCTCCTGACAGACACGACAAGAGTTGGGTGGCCTGACAGTCGACAGCCTCGCTGGAATCGAAGACGCTGATGCGTGCAACTGACGGCGCAGTCCCCTACCCAACCGCCTCTGCTGCCCATGGCGGCGGCTGTATTAACGCGCACAGGCAAAGCCAGTAAGGTGGGATGAGGTCGACACAGAAAGGTCACGGTTCACCCGAACGTGACCAGGTCACTCATTTAAGTCTGGTGAGGCGACAACCGCGTGAGTTGTGGACGGTTGATTTTCTGGCCGAGAGTCAATTGCCCGGTCAATCGGTCTTCCTCCCATATGCGCAGCGTTAAAACTGTGTAGGCAGGGCAATTAACATCATGAAAGGCGCGCGGTCGATAAACACTACTCAGGGAGGGGAGGGGGAGAGATGGCAGTGTGGAATAAGATCGTCAAGCCGTCGTCGCATCAATTACCGACATCGACGATGGTGCCTCAACGCCTCGGACATGCTCAGGGAGGTCATCATCGCTACAATTACGACAACTACTAACAGTGTGAGGCGGTGTAGCAAATAGCACTTGCAAGTGCTGAATCCCACCTCTGATGAGGGGTCAAAGTATGAATCGGAAAGGTTGGACGAATGAAGAGCAGGATTCAGTGATGGGGCCCGTTTCTTTCCATTTTCTCATCTGTGCGCTTACACCAAGTAGACCAGAAACATAGAGAAGGTTCCTGGTGTTGCAAAAAACGTGTGAATTATGATACAGATGGATCATTTATTTTTTTTTGGGGGGGGAGGGAGAGCGAAACGTCACGCCACAATGGAGTCGTTGCCTGTCCCTCCCGCCGCCCCCCCCCCGCTGCGGCGGGGACAACTCAACCAAGGGGTCTGACATGGTCAATTAGCGTTTGCGCAAATTCGGTCATAATTGCACTACGGAAATTAGAGGCCACTACAACAGCTCCCCTCCCCCTGTCACCAGGTTCAGCCGATGCATCATACTCCAGGGTTGTGAGAGGTGAAACTGCGATGATACTCCAGTAGCTGCAGACGAATGACCCCCCCCCCGTTTGCAATCTGCGTCCACGCAAATCGTTGGTTATTGGGCCGCAAAATGTCCCCCTCACAGCCAGGTGCAGCAGGTAACGTCACTCACGAAACGCTAACCGAACCTCTGAAATATGATCTCGGCTAGGAATAATTACCTAGGTGGGATTGTAACACTCATTGGCGCACACCATAATCCAAAGATATTTCGGTCAAGTTCCATGTTTGAATGAGTCTTCACATGTGACCCAAACGACCATCTTCGTGAAAAGGAGTGCCTTAGCACTCACTACTTCGATAAATGCCTTCAAGAACAAGTTTATTTTACAGTTCTTAACAGACAGGGGATTCGAAATCTGTCTTTATGGACGATCGGGTGGAGACACTGAAAATCATGAAGTATTCAGCAACATTTCGAGGCCGATCTGAAACTCAACGTAATCCAAAACGAACGAAAAGTGCAAATTCATTTAACGGAAGAAAAGTTCTCTCTGTAAACAAAAAGTGGTATGTTTACGATCACGCCTGTCAATTCTATTTAAATTTATTAGGCACCGACTGGCCTCATGGCATGTCACCTTATGAAAACTTCTGTTCCTACGATGTCCCCGCCGGTGAAATCAAGCAAAATCCAATTTCTCTCGTTGAACCCCATTTCATTTAACTTAGATGAGCTAAGGATAACAAGAAACCCCGGAAAACTGTTTTGGAATCTACACTCAGAATGTAGGCAGTTGACAAACCGTCATATATGAAATCACACTAATTATTAGACGATATTTAGATGTAAACTTCACTGAAACACTATTATTAGACGTCATTTTATTCCTAGTTTCATATTTACCACGTTTTGGCATGAAAATACATTCTATACATCTAAAAACGAAGTTTACTAAGTTAGAGCCATTTCTGACGTTTTTGGGATATTGTGCTTTTCTAAATAAATCGGCAGCCAGGTGCAGCGGGTAACGTAACTCACGAAACGCTAACCGAACCTTTGAAATATGATCTTGGCTAGAAATAATTACTTAGGTGGGATTGTAACATTCATTGGCGCATGGTATAATTCAAAGATATTTCGGCCAAGCTGTGATGCCGGCCTTTGAATGTGTTTCTTTCTAGTTGTCTGTAACAATCGCACTCGTTAAAAAAAACTACATATAGTGTTATGGTCGCTTCCATTGACTTTCGACGTCTTTACAAACCCAAACCTGGACAAAAAATGCCCTATCTTATGCACATTTTATAATAAATTACGCCTACCGATTTTACGCTCGAAAAAGGGGTAACTTTGGGTTTCAAAAAGATTTGCATTAGGGTGTTCGGAAAGTAATTGTGCTTTTACATGGTGTTTCATATGACAGTATCACCGCATTTCTCATTTCGTACCCAACTGTCCACGAACATCTCAAACGAATTGAAAAAGAACATGCAGAGAGGGAATTCGGATTTCAGATGAGGTTAAACGTGAGCTTCGAACAGAACGTACCACCATCAGCAGTAGTCTTCTAACCAAAAATAACAACCTGCCATTCCTGCATCACATCAGAAAGTGAGAAAAGACAAGGGTCATCGCGTAATGAGAAACTATCGCCAACTCCGAAACCAGAATTCCATCCACAAAAATCCTTACTCCGTGCTTGTTTGGATAGGAAAGCTATCGTAAGCTAATGGAACGTGGAGGGACTATCAGTGCAGATGTCTGTTGCAAACAAACGGATCATGTACAAGAAAAAAATACGTCTGTAGTGTCCTGCTCTGGTAAACAGGGAAGGTGGTATGACAATGCAGAATCACGAAGCATAAAACAAATCCGGGGAAAGATAAGATCGTTAGGATGGCAGGTTTTTCACACATCCCTCCATACCCACCTGACCCAGCACCCACGGATTCCTATCTTTTCCGACCACTAGAGCACTCGACGGGAGGCAAAGCATTCAGAAACAGAGAGGAAACTGGAAACAGCCCATCAGAATTATTCTGGTGAAACGGACAGCCTAGTATATGTGAGTTTTTAAGGCCATGAGACGTCTATCCAAATATCCTTCTATCTATCCGTTTGTCCATGCTCCTTATAAAGCATACAGCATGGCTCATCCATTGCAAAATGTTAGGAGCACTGAACAACATCTTAATGGAATAGAGGAATATACAGTTTTCCTTAAATGAAGAGTGTACAGCGTGTCCTTTAAAAACGTTAGACGCTAGGTTGGATTCAAAACGATTTCCCGATTGAGAGACCTCTTAAAACTGGAGGGAAAAATTTGTCCAGGTGGACAATTTTAGCAAGACGCGATTTGCTACTGAATGAGCATCAGGGTATTTTAAGCACATTTCCCATAACACACGTTTTGATTGGTAATGACAACGAAAATCAATGGAACAAAGACATACCACCATAGGTACTTGCTTTTTACCCAGTGTAGTTTCTGCCTACGGCCGGAAAAACGGCCGACATCCTGGCTTGACCGAAATATCTTGGGGGTGTACTGCGTGCTAACCAATATTACAGGCTCACCTAAGTAATTTTTTTCCGGTAACGATCGGTTACGCTGTCCGGATCCCAAGTGTAGGCGCAGTGGGAGCATTGAAAGGATGGTGGGTGGAAGAGGAATGCCGAAATCGTTTAGTGGGGAAGTAACCGAAGATAAAACGGAAGAGAGCCACCTGATTCTGCCGCGAGAATGAACGAGGCCTAGAATCCCAGCAAAAAAACCTGGCAGGACACGCGGGACAGCAATAGCCCAAACCTCACGCGTTAATCCTAACCGTAGCCTCAAAAGTAAACCTTAACGTAATTATAAACCTAACTCAAACGCAACACTAAACCTAACACAAACCCCCCGGCCTAATCTTAACCGTAACACTGACTCGAGCCTTAACCGTAACTGGAACCCTAACACTAACCCTAGAACGAACCTTAACATTAAACGTAAACCCAAACTGTAATCCAAACCCTAACCCTAAACCTAACTCGAACCCCTAAACTTAACACAGGCTCTAACTCTGAAGTCACTTCTAAGCCTGGCACTAACTCAAACCCCAAAACTAACCCTAGACCGAAACTTCAGATTGTTATTTTCCGTTTTAGCCTCGCCTGGAGCGAATGCCTGCGAGAGGGGCATATTGCGGTCCAACAACACCAGTCAACAGTTTGCTTGGACGCAAAGGTTGCAGACGGGGGGTCATTCATCCGCACCTGCAGGACTGTCGTCGCAGTGACCCCCCCCCCCCCGACGTGCTGCACCACCTTCCGCATGGCCGACCAGAGCATGAAAGGATAGCCATTCGGTCATCCTACAAGTCGGTTTAGTCACCGCTTTTCGGTTGCGCATGATGACTGTGCGGCGGAATGTTCTCATGCAGCACCTAGATCTGAAGGTGGACATCCCTACAAGGTCCTCCAACGCACCACTGTCCGGTCCCCAGATAGTGCCAGACGGTGTTGGGTGAGGGACCGTACTTAGTTGTGGCGAGCAACACACGGACATTCCTAATACCACTACTGTTTGTCACGATACCCCTGTCTAACCACACCTGCGCACTCGTCAGACCTTCGCTGACGGTCGTTATGCCGTGAAGGAGACACGATCGCTGGGACAAGAGGTTTATTCACTTGACGTTTCGGATTCCTGCTCGAACGCATCATCAGAGACAAAAGCAGATAGGGGTGGCTCATGCACAAGGGACTGCAGTATTTATAGAGTGCAGTCGCCATGCTACCGCATACCTATGAATATTCACGGCTCCCCCCTTCACCAGCGATCGTTGGACTTGGTGTGATGACCGTTTAATGACCGACATTCGCGTCGTTAATTTCTAATTGGCCTAAAGACCCAAATGTTCAGGAGAGCGAAAAATACGATGCAAGTACTAAACTTCAACAGCAATCACCCAATCAGTCACAAAGGCAGTTGTGTAAGGACGCTCTATCGGCGTGACGAAACGCACTGCAGTAAACCGGACGACATGATTACCGAACTACAATACCTCCGACGGGTCCTCGAAGCCAGTGGCTACCGGCGCAACTTCGTCAGCCGGTACATGCGCAAAAGGGACGAAAGGCCTAACCGCACGGACGCCAAAGTTTGGCGAGCGCTTGCGTATGTCAAGAACGTTTCGGAAGCTGTTGGCCGCCTTCTCGCACCACTTGGGGTTGGAGCTGCACACAGACCGGAAGCAACCATCCGGCGTCAGGTAATGAAACCGAAAGACCCGCCGCCACGGCTAGAAACGTCTAGAGTAGTTTATCGGATCTGATGTAGTTGCGGACAAAGCAACTGCGTCGGAGAAACCAGAAGACATCTCCGAACGCGAATGGCCAAACACGCTGCAGCGGTATGTAGAAATGACGCCATTTCTCAAGTTTCGGCTCATTTGACGAGATCCAGTCACACATTTAAATTTGACGAGGCCGAAATTCCCGAAAGAGGTGACAACCGCGTGAGCCGCGAGCTGCTCGAGTCCTGGTTCACTGCCCCCCAGTCCATTAACAAGTGCAACAACCTTCCCCTGCCATACTCGGTGCTGAGACTTCTTCTGGGCGAGGTAGTTAGCCACGCGGGGAGCGCACAGGTGAACACTGCTCCTAACGCCAGGGTCAGTGGGTCAGATGGTCGAGCAATCATCACACCAACATCCAACGCACGTGATGAAATTGCAGCAATTAACGACGCGAATGTCGGCCATCAAACAGTCATCACACCAAGTGCAATGATCTCTGATGAAGGGGGGAGCCGTGAATATTCATAGATATGCGGTAGCATGGCGACTGCATCCCATAAATACTGCAGCCCCTTGTGCAGGAGCCACCCTTATCTGCTTTTGTCTCTGATGATGGATTCGAGCAGGAATCCGAAACGTCAGGCGAATAAGGCTCCCTTCCCAGCGATCGTGTCTCCTCCTTCACGACTGCTTCCTGGGACTCGTTTCTTCGCTTCTACTGGTCGTTATGCCATCATTCACCTGCGAGCACGCCAGATTACCCTCAGCTATACGCAGGTGCTATGGACCAGTTTAAAGTCAGCCGCAACCCACCCACCGACAGCGACGAGCGGAATAATCGCCAGTCGGCTGCCTGCCAGCATTGCCCACGGAAGAAGGGCCAGCCCCGAGTGGGTTTTCGCATCCGGACACGCCACGTACACGCAGACGGCGTTAGCCAATCAATCGCAGCATTTCTGCGTTGTCACGCGCGCGCACACACGGCGACTTAGAAGGCGCGTTGACGAGGACGTGTGATGACTCGTCAGCCCCGCAGGAGTAGCCACGGCGTCCTCGACGTGCAGTCAGTGCGTTGGGGCAAAAATGAGACGGGGCCGGCAGATGGCTTTAAAAAACCGAGGTCGACGCCGGAGTGGGACAGCAGTCCTTTAATGCTTTCGGCCACCAAGACCAGCATCCCGCTGGCATGCGCATGCTGACTCACCAGTTTCATTCCACACGCGGAGTCATGCGCATTGCCACGTGGGAGTGACGACCATAACAGGCAGTGTGAACCTGATTGGCACAGATGAGAAGGCGTTAGGTTAAACTAGTCGAGGTTCAAAGCACACTTTTTTCTCAGATCGTCGTGAACGACGGTGTCCACTGTGTGTGTGCCAGACCATGGGGAACGGCGACTTGTGAGTGAGTTGGTTTATAATGATAGCATGACAGTTCGACCGCCGCATCTGACGATGTCCACCGTGTGCTCCACAGCAGCAGGCACGGTGACTTGCGCATGAATTAGTTTATAGTGAGTGTAGACTTGCGCAGCATCTCTCTCACTCTCTCCTCTGTCACCTGGGCCCGGTGTCAAGACAGAGTCAAAAAGACCGGAGGGGGGGGCCGATGGCGCGGCCGAGCCCGCACCTTGGCACTCCACAACAACACCACGATGGGTCAGAAGGAGGAAGGAGATGACTGGGCAATCATTCTCACGACCTGTGTACTCAGCGGGTGCGCAAGCACATCTACCGGCAGGGGACCAGATGTCATAGAACTGCCGACCCATACCAGGTTGCGAGGACCGAGTTATCCCCGTCACTTGGTAGCCTTCCAAGCCAGAGTTTTTAGCGCACCGCGATAGTTTAAAGGCGCGTCAAATTGAGGAATATGTGCCGAGTGCCATGCGGACGCAGTCCCCGGAGTCGACCACACACACTCTTGCCCATCCTAAGCGACTGTCTACTGGCCGAGCCGGGCCGCAAGTAGCTGACAGAGTTAGACAGGCCACCATGCACAACCTTACCCCCAAAAACAACACTCCGGGGGCAGGACCAGTCGAATGGGCCTGTGACCGTTTCTGTCTCCGTCTTCCACGCTTTTGCCGGTCAGTCGCTGAGTACGGGCCTCATCGACGTTGCTACAAAGGTCTTTGTTATTGGCTGTACGTAACTCGTGGATGGGACCCAACCAAACCGAGTTCCAAACTGAGTGTGGATTCATCGACCGGATATTCACACCGCGGCACAGCCTTAGATTCCGCCACGGTTACCAGCAGCCCAGGGCTTTCTGCTATGTTGACTTAGTCGCAGCGTTCACAGAGTTCCTGCGGCAGATAACGGAATTAGGCAGTATGTTGGCAAAAAGCAACACCATGAGCGGGACCCATTGTCGCCTCGCCACTGCGCGAATTCTGACCCACAACAATCTTTCCCAGTAATTCGATATTCGGTTTAACGCCCAACAAGGTCGTGTCCTGTCGTCCGTTCTGCCCAACTGCGCCATTGACGGGGTTCGCGGACGGACCTAACACAATTTTACGACGTCGTATTTGCGCTCCGGGGCCGGCTGACTGATCATGATCATGGCCGACGATATTGTCCCGGCTGGCATCAAACCACGTACTGTGGTGTCAGGGGTGAAGGAGGTCGCTAAATCGGTCGATTTACCCAAAAAACGCTTATTTCAAATTGCATCTCTGACAACCAAAAGGCAACCCGAGGAATGAATGGTCGTCAACCCGAAGTAGGCCGTTTTCAATGCCTCGGGACGAGACTGCTTCCGAATGGAAAGAGTAGAGTCGACATCGACTCCTGAATCGGTGCTGTTTGTGGGGTCTTCACAATCCTTAGTCTCCAGCAACCCGTCACAGCATTTCCATCGTCATAAAACTCTGCTTGTACCGGCATCTGGTTACGAATGCCGGGGTGTGCAGGTGGAAGATGGACTGAAAGTGGACCTGTCTGACTACCGCTGCCTGTTAACTATTCTTTGGGTGATGTACACTGATTTTGTCTTGAATAAGACAGTCCATACTTGCTGTAACAACATCGCGACATTGTCTCAGGACACCCAGGCAAGGCTACTGACGTGGTTTGGGCACGTTATTTGTCTGCCCATGGGCTAAGTGGTAGTGGGATGTTCACCGATCGCGCTGCCGAACTCACTGGTTCCGTCGTGTCTTGGGAATCTCTCGAGCCCAGCCAGGAGCCGCACAGCGGCGCGTTAGTGCCAGAAATGGCCACCCCAGTCTTCCTTGTCCTTGTCGGGTATGCTATTTTCTGCCGTCTATATTATGCGCAGTAATGCCTCAGGGACAAACCTAGTGGACAGATGCATTTCAGCCCATGATACATTTGGAACGGAAAATTTTGGCCCAGCCTCCATGTATCCGCACCCCCCTCAGAGCTTAGACGTTGGAATTCTAACCAACAGGTTGCGAGGTCGAGCCCCAGGTGTTCCACACTTACGGGGTTGGGTATGACTGGCTGACGACGGCTAATAAGCCAGAAATGGCGATTCCAGTCTCCCTTGTCAATAGGAGCGAAGAGACGAGTCCCAGGAAGCAGTCTTGAAGAAGAAGACACGATCGCCGAGACAAGAGCTTTATTAGCCTGACGTTTCGGATTCCTGCTCGAATCCATCATCAGAGACAAAAGCAGATAAGGGTTCTGCTTTTGTCTCTGATGATTGATTCGATCCGAAACGTCAGGCTAATAAAGCTCTTGTCCCGGCGATCGTGTCTTCTTCTTCAAGTCTCCCTTGTCTTTGTTTGTAATACCATTCCATATTTTACTATCCTGCCTACACTACGCGCCGCTATGTGACTGTTTGCGGGGCTCGAGAGAGAGAGAGGGGGGACCCCAAGGTACAACGGGGCGGATGAATTCCGTAGCGCGATCGGTGGGCGTCCCTCTATCATTGTATACTCCTGATCGCAGCCGACAGAACAACGAGCCCATGGCTCAGTGGTTAGGGCGTTTGACTTCAAACAGGCAGGTCGCGCGATTGGGCGCCAAGGGGTTGCATGCCTCGGGGTTGAGTATGGCTGGCTGACGACGGCCAATAAACCAGAAGCGGCTATTACATCCCTCCATCCAGCATCGGTGCCCACCTGGGGGCGTGGACGGGGAGGTCAACGCAATATTTGGCTCGAAAGAGTTCGTCAGGACATGGACCCCCGGTATTCGGTCCACGTCGTTGGAGGAGAGGTTGAGTCAAGCTCTTCATATGTCTACTCCAGCAGATCGGAGCGACATTACGGAGGCTGGTTTGACTAGGTATGATCCCAGCTGGACCAAAGTGCAAGCAGCTTGAAGGCCTGGTAGGTGGTTGTCAGTCCCCAGTCTCTAACGTCAGAGACACACCTAATAGACCAACATGCGCCAATTCCAATGTCAATGAAGTAGCAGTGACACAGCTTGTCTACAAGTCATTTCCTAGCCACGATAAGGACACAAATATTGCATTTTTTCAGAGAGGGAAAATTCTTTCAGTCGGGAAAATGTGCAGCCAGGAGGATGAGATAAAAATTTACTTGGCTACTGATCAGAGGAAGTGCAGTTGCCCATGGGTAGTGTCTCTCAGTCGGTGACTGACTGGTTGACCGGTCTTTGAAGGATGAGAACCCCGCTAGATTCAGGGCTGCACCTCACCTTCCTGGGCTCTAAGGATTGTGTGCGTCAGCTATGCCATGATTCAGAAAAACCATGGCCCATCGGTTCCCTGACACCTGTTTCCCTGCCGACAGATGCGCTTGCGCCCCCCGCTGGGTAGACAGGTCGTGTGCATGGCTGCCCGTAGTGGTGCTGTTATTGTTGGTTAAAATCCTGATCAAGTGTTTGCTGTGGAGCAGGGGGCGTAGAGTGGTACGCCTAGGTGCGGGTCCAGTCGTGCCAGTCACATGTGCCCTCCTCCACCGGGTAAACAAGTCATCCTCTTCTTTCTTACCCGTCTTATTCTGTTGTTGGTTAAAATCCTGGTCAAGTGTTTGTTGTGAACCGGAGGGTGCAGCGATAGGCCTAGGTGCAGATCCGGCCGTGCCAGCCACCTGCGCCCTCTCCAGTCTTCGGCATTCTTGACATCGTGCCCAGACGAGGTAGATGGATGTTGTGCAAACCTACTACTACTATAAACTTCACGCACAAGTCATCGTGCCTGCTCCCACCTTACTGTGGAGGACCCGGTAGACATCGTGAGCAACGACGGTTGTCGAACTGTCGTAAGTGCAGTCGAAACACGATGACGAAAATGGTAGGCTGATTGATCATACTCTCGACACGGGCAATAACTAGATGCCCAGACATGTATTTCGTTGACTTCGCTAATAACCATGTCGGGAGTATGGTAAATAAAACAGGATTTATATACTAGTGACCGCCTGTCGGCAGTTGTGAAGATGTCCTCGTGGAACTGACTGTTTTCAGCTTCAATATTCATATCAACTCTCAAACCAAACTTGACAGGGTCTGTGCTGAAGAGTTTACCCTGGGTTCGCATATTGAATTCTAAAGGAGATTAGGGTAATGATATGACATATCAAGTGAATAATTTCAGAAATTACTCAGTGTAGGACTTGGAGTTAAATCTCCTGGACACGACTTTTTAGGGTCAGAACCGAAATTTCAATGAACATTCGAGTCGAAGACAACCAACTACTGTGGAATAACCACGTAATGCCCATTCTACAAACAAGTAGTACTACGACTAGTATGAATTACATATGGTAAATGTATTATACCGTACTCCAGATATAGATACTTGCTAAAAGCCCAGACACGTGTTTCGCCGATATTTTGCCGCTGCGTGACACAGCTGCGAGGGGTTCGGCTCTTCAGTGGGACCCCCAGCGTTCTCTAGCGGTTTCTGGTATATGAACTCCAGAGAATAATCAAGTGAATAATTTCAGAAATTACTCAGTGCAGGACTTGGAGTTATTTCTTCGGAGCATAACTCTTTTTAGGGTCAAATCCGAAGTTTAAATGAACATTTAAGTCAAAGGCAATCGGTTACTCCAAGATATGACATATGACCAGGGCAGGCTTGCTAAACAAAACTGACCACTATGTTTGTTTAAGTAGGTGTTGTTCGTATAATCGCTATTACCACCATCCCCGTAAGACACGTTTCACCGGTGACCTTTTGTTGACCCCGGTCATATAACCTATCCTTGTTAAAATTAAAAAGCTTAAGGTGAAGAATTGGGCCATGTGGTGGCAACTGCAGCATTCGAAGAGGAGTTTTGTTGAGGACATCTAACCTAGTGTTCCAAATAATCCTACGTTTCAATGAACCTCAGTTTGCTTGAAGCAAGGGACCACAAGGATTGTTGCTACAGTTCCGTCAGTTGGATTAATTGCCTGTGAGAGGGGGTTACTTTATACTACGGACAAGGATTGGCCTTGGTAAGACGAGAAAAAGCACATTTTACTCAGTGTGCCTGCGGTAGTCACAGTCTAGAGACTCGGTCACTGGTCGCGCAACTGCTTATCTGCTTCACACCACTGGAGGGTACTGACATTAAATCCGTGCGGCAATTGGTAGCGAAATTGCAGTGGCATATAAAGGAAGTCAGTAAATATTTTAACGCGGGGATACTTTCAATGGAAACTGACAAGATTAGACGACCAGGCGGGCGAGGAGGAACGAAGAATTACACAACAGTCGATATCATGTCTGGATAGGTTTCCATTCGTCGACGAGGAGGGTCAATGCAGCAGAAAGTACGTCCTACCCACCTCACTTTTATGATATTCTGTAGGTCGATATTCAGCCAAAAACCCGATCCGCATCCGTTGGTTTAAAAGGAAACAAAATGGAGACAGCGGTATGGAAGTCTGATATTCTGCGCATAACTTTTCCTCATTAACATTGGCACAAGAGGCGTGCGCAGCAACTACTACATATTTGCCTTTTTGGGTTCAATCAAAGTATTTAGGGATAAATAGTCAATCTATTCGGAAACTCAAGTCAAGGTGGTCGGTAGTAGCAGTAGTACATAAAATTAAGTGCATACCAGTGGGGTGAAGCCGCGTTTCCGGAAGATACTGATAAGTTGGCGTCGCGACAGGAGACCTGGCTGAGTAAGATCTACCGTGCTACCATCATCCACCAGGTACTCAAACGCGCCGTGTCGTGACAAAGGTTCCTCTGACTTTTCAGGCGAGGCAGCTTTGGTCATCGAGGACCGAAGGAGTGTCACTGCGTTTCCATAAATAAAACGTAGTTACTCACTAACAATAAGTAGTTTGTTGTGAGAGTTTCAAGGTAACAAATAGGAGGGTCCCTCTGATTCCAGAGGTACTTTTTCCCGTTGTTCCCATCGTCGTTTGCTTGCACAACTGTCACTTTTATTTAGGATCAGTTGGTGGACAAGTATTGCCAAGGATGTCCCACGCATTTCCAAAGCGTTGTCTGGTCTGCTAAGACACACACAGGACGCTCGGTCGAATTGCAACCGCACATATACGGCTAAATAGGTACCAAATGGGACCAAATGATCGCATAGTTACATAGTGCTACACGTGGGATGATTCCCAGACGTTTGTGATCGAAGACAGAGTACAGATGACGTCGCTCAGAAAATCCCATTTGGAGCCCATACAAGGTTGACCGAGCGCAGGCTTCCTAATGCAGGTCTTGCTTACTTACTTGGTACGGCTGCGATCATGCCTGATCTATCCGGCCTCAATGTTGTCCCGAACTGTACCTCTTCACGCGTGACGATCCGCGGCGGCAGATCTGGACAGTTCAACCCATTCTCTTCGCTAAAGACGGAGACCGAATATCGAGGGCTCAAGAACCATCTCCATGTCTTGATGCACTGTGTCGAGCCAGGTTTTGAACTAACCACCTCATCGACGCCTCCAATGGGGTAACGGTGCCGGATCGAGCGCAGTAACACTGGGCTACTGAGGTGGACGACGAAGAACATGCCCAAATCACCTCAGTCGTCTTTCTTGGATGGATTGGGTTATCCTTGTGATGTTGTCGCAGCGAACGTGGACTGTCTCATTTGAGACGAAGTCGGTGTAGTTCATTCAAAGGATGATCCTCGAGCAGTGTTGGTCAAATACCTCCAGTTTTTGCTCGTCCCCCATGCGCACAATCCAGCATTCGGAACTATAGAGAAGGACAGACCGGACAGATGCACGGTGCACGCGAATCTTAGTGGCGATGGAGAGGTCGCGTCGGATCCGTAGGCATTTTCTAAGGCTCGAGAAAACACATCGGGCAGCATCAATTCGGGAGACAATGTCATCCTTACTCTGCCCATTCGGCAGGTCCCTTATCAGGTGACGTCCAGGTTGGTAGAAATTAGCACTAAATGCCTAAATCCTTCAGTACGAGCTTTCCGTCTATTTACGTACCCACGAATAAGTACAACTAGCAGGATAAGTAGCCTACCTCATCCAGTGCCCCACTGGCTATTGCCAGAGGACGTTGGCCTCCCTCTGTTTTTCGATGAGGGAAGTGTATGGGGCAGTTTCTTGCAGAATGTGGCGCTAAGGTCTGTGTGCATATTTCCCACCCATTTGGTAGGGCATTGATGTACGCGAAACCGGCGTCAAGAGGTCAGTTTAAACGTCAAAGATCTAACGTCCCACTGGATGGATGTGCAGGCGCATTTACTAGGACGCGTATGATTAATAATTTAGGGAAAAAAAACAGAATCGAACAAACTGAGGATGACATCGTTACTCTTGATTTCCAGAGGTAGCCGCTTATAAAATGCTGCCTTCTGAGGGGAAAACATAGTTCCTAAGAGTGTTATCGTTTGTGAAATAACACTATTCTAACGACACTTCAGTGGCGATTTTGGTTAATTGAAGAAGTAGAAATGCTACAGGGTTTGCTGGAGCTCGAATAAAAACGTCGAGAGAGACTCAGGGGGTTTTTGGTCAGCTAGTGCAAAAGACGAGGTCAATGTCTCCTCAAATTCCAGGTCTCACTAGAGTTTCCTACACAGGAGAGTTACCATTAGCCACTTAGGCTGCTCGCTTGATGTTGCCTCTTAGAGTCATTTGGCTCGCAAGAACCTAGCTGCAAGTCAGCAGCGGCAAAAGAGTCCACTCCATGGCTATTCACTGTCGCTACATCAGTGGTTTCATCGATAAGCCAGAACTCAGCCCTGCGCACCCTGGCAGCCCTCCCACTTCTGGCTCTCAGTGTTTGTTCGCCCGACTCAGGAAACGACTTGTTTCACAGTTAACCTTCGTTGAAGGCCGTTCTCCTATTCAAAACCCACGGACGCACCAGATGTTCAGCAGTCGAGCCAGTAGGTTTTGCCAATAATGAGCCAATGCACACTCAGCAACAGTATTACAAAAATACCCCAAACTTGGGTGTTTTTTGCATGTTATGTGCGGTCTGAAATGAGTAAGACACTGCTGTCCTGGATCCAATAGCACTCTTTTGCTTGAAGAAAAGAGGCGGACCATCCTAAAACGTGCTTCCACATGGTTCCTCAAGATGCTGGAGCAGATCATGGAGTCTTCTTATTCAGTCTCGACCATCGTGAGACATCGTGTAGGACGTTGCTACAGCTGTGCAGGGAAGCACTGCAGTTTTCGCACGACGCCCTATCCCCTTTCTAGAAATGGCGTTAAGGTCGGGAGGAGCCGGACCAAGTTCAGCTAAAAATCGAGAGGATTCATAGCAAGTTCCTTCATGATTCCTCATCTAGGTTCGAGAGTGGACGAAAACATATTCAGTCCTGGGGTTAAATGCTTATGACGACTTCGTGGCGACTGGTAAATTCGGTTTGAAATTATAGCTGTATGGAAATATCTAACGTAATTTAGGCTTAGTTCGTTCTAAGATTGCAGCAAGGGCCGCTGACATGAATTTGTTGGAGCCACTGGAAGTTCTACCTACGCAAGATCACCACCTGGAGTAAATGAAACATGGACTCACTAACCCAGTCGATCATGACCTTCCCTCCACAGGATAGATGGTCAACGTCATAATAATAAAGTGCTGCCGCGTATTTACTCACGAACAGCTAGGCCTTCCTAGTTGGCATACATTGACTAACAAAAACGTGTGATGCTCGCT